TCCCCTCTAAAATTTTTGTTTCGCATTTTAAGGTAAGAAATCGACATTTGAAACCGACAGGGTGTCGATTTACTCGGTGCCGTGTTTCACAACTTGTTTATTTATATACGTATAGCGGATGATTTTTATTGAAAATTAGTATTTATTGATTTTCAGCCCCCAAGTGACTGTGGTTTCCATAGCTGTCATATGTGTACTCTGGTAACCTGAACTTATGTTCTACCATGACTCTTATTTCTGTGAACCCATTGTATTTATGTCAATTTATACCGGCCACACTTGTATTTATATGCAAAGAGTAATTGCTATTTTAGATACCTGTGCATAATTTGTGAACCGACAATGTATTACGTAACTATACAAACACTACTTTATACTTGGCCAAATATTTTGCATGATCCCTCAATCGGACGGAGCTTCTAAACTATCGCAAATGTTGACGTTGATTCGCGCCAAAAAACACATTAGAACAGTCATTTCAATATCTCATGGTATGCATTATCCACGAGTAAATACCATAGCGTATAATTTTGTATTTAGGTACATTAACCCTGCTCAGCGATATACACAATGCAATGCAGTTGAAACTTTGTTTTGTACGTAATGTGTGTGATTTGATCTGTAAACCTACGCTATCCCGTTGTGTTTACCCGGCGTATATTGAACCGCCATTTTAAAGCTACATACAGATGCGAACCCCCTTTCCATACACAATTTCTGGAAATGGGTCTAGAATTTCTGCACCTGCCAAACCTTGAATTCACTAATTTTGTGCGGCACACAACTCATATCATGCGTTACCAATGTCTACCATACCTGTCAATACAAAGTTATGTACAAAGTAAACGTCATAATGTGAATGGGAATACACTTCAAACCCGAGAGAACTGTAAAGCGTACATGAGTTATTGATTCGTTATATGGTGATTCACTGGATTGTCATATATTTACAGGAGTCATAACGACTAATATGATATTTGACTTTGAAGAAGATAGCGAAAGACAACATGAATTCTTGGGTACGTAAATATACATCTGGTTTCAACATCAATTCCATTCAAAATTTAAAAAAATACACTGTTATTTAAATTACCTTATTTTTCTGTTATAGTATTCGCATTCGACGCGGGACAACCATCATTGACATCTTCGGCATTGGTGAGAGTGACAGTCTTGGACACCAACGACAACGCACCCATCTTCTCTGCAGGACACTATGATACAATGATATTTAATGGCATGTGGGATAACTATCCAGTCCTCGTCACCCATGCAGATGATGCCGATAGTGGCGACAATGGTAGAATCTCTTTCCGTATATCTGATAATACAACTGATCTGTTTACCGTAGACACTAAAGGAGTTGTCACTATAACAGGAATAGTAAACTACGATGAACTACTGAGAGATGGTTTGCTGGATGATGAAGATGCTTTACAGTTTTTAGTGGTTGCTGTGGACAACGGTTCTTCACAGCTACAGAACTCAACTACTGTTAACGTTACAGTAGTGAATGTAGAATTATCGGGTAGGTTTAAAATTTAATTACGTAATTTAAATCGACGTATTTGCTGCCGAGCAGAAGGAAAGGTATATATACCCCCAATATAATGCAGTCCGATGTCGAAGAATGTTATTATGCATAAATAAACCTGACATAATATCTTCTATCTTCTTATTGTTAGTACAACTAAATGGTTTTTTGACATTTTCAGATGATGCCGGTGACTGCGTCTCAGATATAACAGGATGTGGGAGTAATTGGTATCAATTCACAATCGACGAACATTCCCCTGCTGGTACCTTTGTTGGTAATATATCAGAGGAGGCAGAACACTTCCCTGATTCAACTTATTCTGTTTTGGAAGAGTATGCTGTTGACGTGTTCAACATAAGTGATACAGGTGTCATTGTAACACTGACTAATAATATTGACAGAGAAGAAAACTCAACCATAACGTTCACAGTTGTTATTCAGTTTCATCAGAATGCAACAAAATACGTCCCTGTGGTTGTGGTTATGTTAGATATCAACGACAATGCACCTATATTCTCCCCAATATCATACAGTGCAGAAGTATTGGAATATTCGCCAGCTGGTACTTTCATCATTCCACTACACGCCACTGATCTAGATGCAGGCTTATATGGAACTGTATATTATGTCATTCAGCAAGATAGTTTCTTTTGGATGGATGCAAACAACTTGCGAAGTCTCCAGACGCTAGTTATCAGTGATCTGGTCGATGCCGGGATTTTGGTCAATGACAACATTGTAGAGCTAGATGTTTATGCAATTGATGGTGGCAACAAATTGAGCGTCAACAATGCAACAATCAATTTAAACATAACTCAGCTACTGGATGACAATAATCAGACTTGTCTCAACACAACTAGCTGTGGAAGCGACTGGTACATGTTTAATGTTACAGAAGAATCTTCTCCTGGTCAATTCGTTGGAAACATATCAGAAGAGGCGTATGATATTTCAAATCCGTCCTATTTTATCCTACAAGATCATGCAGCTCTCTTATTTAAAGTTCACGACGAGGGTGTTCTAGTGGTTGGTGAATCTCGTATAGACAGAGAAGAGTTTAAATATATACAACTGACTATTGTTATTTTGAGTGAAACCAATACAACTATAAAATACATACCCGTACATGTGGATGTGGTAGACATTAATGATAATCGACCTGAATTCTCACGAATATCATACAGTGTAAATATTTCAGAACACTCTCCAGTAGACACATTCATCGTCCCTGTCTATGCAACTGATGCAGATTCAGGTACAAACGGAGAAGTATCATTCTATATTGCCGAACCTCATAATAATACATTCTGGATGGACAATAACAATTTAAGAAGTCGCTATGAACTTATTTTAAATGACGGTAATTATGCCAGTCACCAGACCATTTACATTTACGCAATGGATAAAGGCAACGTTGTGAGCAGTGTTTATGCAAGCGTTGATTTATTGATACACCCATATAGTACATTGAATTGCAATGGAACGTTTCAGAATGGCTCCATTTGTGGAAGCGATTGGTATAGGTTTACAGTAGATGAAAATTCTTCTGGTGCCGTTGTTGGAAATATATCGAATGAGGCCCGAGGTATGGATGATCCGATGTACTCAGTATTACAAGACTATGCGGCTCGTGTTTTCGACATTGCTGGAGATGGTACCATATCGACTTCTGTGAATATAGACCGAGAGATTAACGACACTATCACTTTCACAGTAGTGATAACGAATCGATTAGTGACAATATCAAAATATGTCTATGTTCACGTTGATGTCATAGATGTTAATGACAATGTGCCTGTTTTTGGGGATACATCATACAGTGCTAATATTTTAGAACACTCCCCCACGGACACTTTTATCACTCCTGTACATGCGTCTGATCTAGACGCTGGAAGCAATGGTAATGTTCACTACAAGGTAGTACTCGACAACTTCTTTTGGATGGACGGCAACAACTTGCGATGTACAAAGAAACTTGTTAAGCAAGAAATGGTTGATGAGAACATACATTTTCGCAATAATGACATTGTCGAGGTTGTAATTTATGCAAGGGATGGCGGCGGTAGAATGAGCATCAATAATGCCACAGTATGGTTGCAGATAAGCACACTGGCGCCAGATGAACAAATCACGTTTGAAAAACGTAAGGTTCGCGTGTTTGAAAATCAACCCAATGGGACGCACATAGCGACAGTGACAACGACCGCCTATCCGGAATATGACGTTAAATACAGCTTTAGTCAGCCCAATTCCACCGACTTCCACATCAACCAAACAACGGTAGGTTATAGTTTGCCACAATTTTCTGCACAGATGAATATTCTAACAAATTGTAATTATATTGGCAGAATCATCAATCAATGTAAAAAGTGATTTTCCGTTTACTGCGAGATCTCGCTTAATGCATGAAAGGTACATCAACCACAGAAATCGAATAATTTGATTTGAGCTTTTAATTTCTCTTGTGTATAGCTCAATGTCGAAATGTCTTTCAGAGAGAAATATGCCCTTACTTCATCCAAAATTGACCATTATCAAATGTGTATAGCACATTATTAGACGTTAAAATATCCAAAAAATATTGTCGAATTTCCAAGTTCCGAAATCTTGACTCCCAACGTTCTGTTCTAACTCTGTTCTGTTCTGGTTAAAGTTGTGCGTAAGATAGATGAACCATAGCTGTTCCAAAACAATATTACAATTAAAGAAATTTTAAAAAGAATTCATGTGTCTTTAGATTAGCTTTTCAAACAAGAAGCTTGGCGACTAATATGTGTCTGCTATTTCAGATGTACAAAAATGAAAATATATGATCCACAGTATTGAAGTTTATAATACTCATTGAAAATAAATTTGGTTGTATATCTTATTCCAGGGCATCTGATTTGTTGAGATTGGTTAATAATCATTAGATAGTTAATATGCATTAAACTAATCACGTCTGTGGATTACCGCAGTGCATCAATGTACTAAATTTCAATTGAATATAATGATTATGCATACTATGCAAATTGGGTAATTAGTATGCTCGAGTTTCAATCCAAACCTAATTAAGTCTTTAGTGCTGTCCCCAGGCACTCACTCATATATCAAGTCTTTTTAAAATGTAGTTGGAAAATTGGTTAATTATTATGCAAATTTGGTGATTATCATGCATGGTTTCAACCAAAAAATAATCAGGCCTGTGCATTGTCCCGAGGTTTTTTTTTCAGAATGTGATAAATAATTCTCCATAAACGTTAGAATGCCGAAAAGTATATTATTATGCAAATTAGGTAATTGTTGTGGATGTAAATAAACCCAAAACAAACTAGGTCGTCGCGTTGTCTTAATATTAATATACCAAATTTCATTGAAATGTGATTAGAACTATTGGATATCATTATGCACAGATATTACCCAAAATTGATCACGACTGTGCATTATCCTATAGCATTTATCTATCAAATTTCATTGAATATGACTAGCAGTTCTTGAGATCGCACACGGGAGTCAACTATTATCCAAAAATATTGTCTTTATACCATCCGTTGTTTTTATGTTTTAATTTGTTTGTATAAATATCCCGATCATATTTGTTAACAGGGTGAAGTTACTACAATAAGATCACTTGATAGAGAGATCCGAAAAACATACGAATATTTTGTTAAAGTGTATGTTGAAGATGATGTTGTTTGTTTAACTGACGCGGTAAATATGTTTCATTAATTACAAGATGACCAATGTTCAATTTGGAGCAGATTCAATTAATCCTCAATTTTCTTTAATCCACACTAACTAGCAGTTGTATATATATATATATATATACTTACGTACACAGGTTT